AACGTCTGGAGACATTTTTCATTGTCACGACTGGGCGGACGCTACAGGCATGTAGCGGGTAGAAGCCAGGGACGCTGCTAAACACCCTACAATGCACAGGACGGTCCTCCCTGCACACACGCCGAAGAATTATCCAGCCTGAAATGTCAGTAGCGCCAAGGTCTAGCCCAGTGCCTTTCCGTAAACCAAGAAACTGAGACCCCGAGGAGAGTGATTTGCTGCTGCGGGAGAAAGCTGGAGAGGCCGAGAAGGCCACCATGCCCACCTCCCGTGCAGTGCCTTTTAAAGCCACACAGATGTTTAATTTAAAAGGATAAATAAATATACATCCTCAAAGAGTTGCAAACAAGTTCCCTGGCCTAAGTTCACCCAAGTGCTTTTAGGATGTCTCCCAGGCTTAGAAATGAGCTGTTTCCAAGATCTCTCAGAAAACAGTGCCACAGGGGTAAGAATGAGCAGATCTAAAAGGCAGCCTCTAACTCCTAGCGTGATGTGGGCCCCCCGCCAGTGACTGCGCTTGTCGGCACCGAGGTTTCCCCGTCCCTCTCTGGAACTGTGATAAGCCAAGGCATACGGACAGCACGGGACAGAAAGAAAGCAACCGCTCTACCCCAGGCCCTCGACCTTCTCGCAGGGGAGGGACTTACCAAAAATAAACAGCGGCCCAGAAAGAAAGTTTCCAAACTAGAGTTAGCCTCACTAGTAGTAGAATTTTCTGAGGCTAGCGCTCTCCAGGCCAAGGTCCGTTTTTACTCACCCTTGTCTTTGGTTGACTTTCTTTTTAAGAACCCAAAAGAGATGTCAGAAGGAAAACAGACTACCCCCTAAGGCTGGGCTGCTTGAGCTCTTGTGACTACAGTCAAGGGTTCACTTGTCGGCCCCGTTCATGTGCCCAGAGATTAGCATCGTGCAACCATCGAGGCTGCTGTCTTTCTACCCTGACTCATCCCCTGGTTGCAGTAAGGGGCTTTACCCAAGGATGGGGTGAGCACTCCTTCCTTCAGACAACAGGCTGATAAGGAAGTGAGCGCACTAGCTAGATTCTTCACCCACCCCTCTCTAGGGGTAGGCCGAAACAAGAACCCAGCGCTTACCAAGACGGTTTTCCTCTCACCAGTAATATAGGATCTCTGCTCTCATCGAGCCCTGGCAAGTCCTACGACCAATAAGTGCCCAGGTGTACGCAGGAGTAGGTGTCAGACTAGAGAAGAAACCGCGGATGAGAAAAGACCCAGTGTACACACATAACAAAACCAAAAAAGCCATTTTATTGAAAATTAAATTCAAACTTCAAATTAATATTACAATCATGAGAAAAATGCCAAATAACTCAATTTACAGTTGCAACATACAATACAAATAGTCCCTTTGAAGTTAAGAGTAAACTCATCCACAATCATGACCTGTGGCACAAAGCAGAATTTGTACAATATGTGCACGGAAAGCAAATCTTGGGCAACAGCGACTGGAAAAAAAATAAAAATGAAAAGCTTATATTTACACAAAATGCTACAAATATTTTTGTTCCACAGAAATCTAAGAATGGTAAAGCATATCCAAAAAAAAAATGGAATTTTATTCAAAATACCTAAGAAATTACTGTAAGTTATGGTTTTGGCTGATATATTTCAAAGTACTGCATGAAGAAGCAAACAGTTATTTGTAAACATGAAGTAAACAAACATCTAAAAAATTCTCACATAGAAAATATGTTTCAAATGCGTTATCTTTTTAAGAACAACAAATTCAAGGTTTGGAAGAGTCGTCTTTTATTTATTTTACTTAATATGGTTCTTTCGAATGTCATAGGTATAATCATTGTTTTTGCTAATGCTTTGTGTTTCCATGCATCCACCTAGACTCTGAGTCAGTCCCTTTCCTGGGAATGGAGGGAACTCTTTCAGCCAGCACATACATCTCTTCCCCTCTGAATCTGCAATGGATGGGCCCCAATGGTGTACAGTTCTCTGCTCACTTTTCAAAGGCCCTGGTGGGGGTAAGACGGCCTGAAGAGCGAACCACAGCTGATCTGTTGAGTCTTTCAGTTCCAACCTGGATGTCATTTCACACACAAAAAAAACTAAAGCTTCGGTACCTGTTCTGGAACTCTGACACAGTTTAGCACAGGTTAAAAAAAGTGGCTGTATTGGTCACGCTGTAAACCAGGCCTTCTTAATCTGAAGGAAGTCGAGTGCTGGCTAGCTCATGGCTCCACAGTAGCAGTAAAAGGCTTTGCTCTGGTCTTGAAATCACAAATCATACACGTGACCCAGTGCAAATTAAGGATTTGGTTAAAAAAGAAGAAGAAGAAGAAAAAAAAAAAGATAGAAAAATTTAACCCCCGGGCTAAAAAAGGGCTGAATTTGATCTAAGAAATGTAAATCACCCCATCCGAATGGTTTGAGTGAGGGGAGCAGGAGGAAGTGCTTGAATTTTTCCCCCCCAAAAAAAAAAAAGCTTTTAAAGTGTTTCTGGGTTGCTGCCTGCAGCCACTATACTAACATTTCAACACAAAAGCATCCCTCAAGTCACTTAGTATGTGTACTGTAAACTTAAAAAAGCCCTTTCAACATTAAAAAAGAATGTACAGATATAGTACCTTTTTTATTAAATAGGGTACAGCTGGCACTGGCAGTAACATTTTTCTGTCAATTAATCAAGATTGAAATGTGTAACCAGACACTGGCTTTTTTAAGTGCTACTGAAACAAACACACATATTTTACACTTACAAATAAATGGACAGTGGCTTGCTTCAAGCTGCCACACACAAATAATAAATAGTATCAATTACTACTCCCATCTTCAGTAATAGGAAAGTGGCTTATTTATCTAAGCATACTTGGTATACAACCTTTAGAAGGCAAAGTGTTTTGTTTTGGTTGGGCTTGGTTTTCCCCTCCATCTTTATTAGCAGGAGTCAGGGTGAATTCCCAGGCGAGGAGCACAGGTCCAATGCCCCACGAGCCTTCCCAAGATGCTTGGTGCTCTACGAGGTGGGCTGGACGACGACCCCGGGGAGCATGGGGCCTCTAGGGCTGGAGGCAAATCTCTAAAGGTTGTGCCTGGGGGCGGGCACAAGCTTTAAATGAAAGGGCCCTGACCTGTGGGGGAGGTGGGTGGGGACCTGCCTGGTGGTGTCGTGAAGTGGTCCTGGCTTGGATCAAGGATCCACACTTGAGAATCTGCCACGTGGCCGCCAGGAGTGGTCAAAGTGCATCCGACAGGAGGGCTTCGGCTCAAATTCATACGCAGTAGTAGACACCAAATTCCACCTAGCTCTGCCTTCCCTTCGCCCCCCCATGGTGAGAAATATGAATATCAGAGGCTGTATTATGGGTCCCCACCGCCTGTATGTTCTCAGATCAGCTGCCTGCTGGAACTTGCCCGCTCCTTCAGATGACCCTGCTCCCAGAAGACAGGGACTTAACTCTGCTCCTTTAAATGCAAATTCTGTGGGAAGCTGCCAGTGGGCCCCGGGCTAAGGCAGATTTGGGTTCCCCTGACTTACTGTTTGGTAAGGCGTTTTGGGTAACACTCCCTGGAGCAGTTCTGCTTTCCTGTACCCTGTGTATCATGACTGATCCTTCAGCCCACATGTGTGGCTTTAAGCTGACTACGTCTTCACTGGTGATGTCGAGTTTTGCTTTAACTATGAAACCACAGAACATTGTTCTGCAGTTCAAGGATTCACTTGTGCTTGTCTTTTTAATATGACAAGAGTCATCACTATTTCAAAGAAATTAGGAAACCACATCACTCCAGCATTTCATGCTGACAAAGAGCAACATAAGTGATAAAGGACTAAGGGTTGCTTTTTAAATCTCTGATTATTGCTTTTTAAAAGGCAAAGCTGTGTTAGAGGCAATCAAAGATCTGAAAAGAACTAACATAACATTTCCTTCATACATCACAAAAACAAGCTACATCTAAAATATTTGGAGATGGAAGTATTTTTAAAAATCACATTGTGTCTGGATGAACTGAAATTGCTTAGCAATATTTCAGATATGGCTCTAGCCCACTGAAGAAATTTGTTATTTAATAAAGAGCACTTTTAGAGACCGAAGTCAACATATCAATACACTAAGAAATGTTTCAAGGGTCCAAATGTCATTAAATAATTATAAATATATCTTTAAAGTTATATGACCATTCACGTTAGCAAGTTACCTCAGATTTTACACATATTCATAATTTAAAAAAAAAGAAGACAAATAACACACAGCCAAACGCAAACACTATCTCTACCATTATGGCTATAATAAGGTATTGCCATTTTCAGTTTTGCATAAAAGAAGAAGGGGTTAGGTGGGAAGGGGGCAGTTCGGGATCGAATTTCTTTTTGGTTAAGTGGGAAAAGGAAAAAAAAAGTATAAAAAGGTAAAATAAAATAATCTATCCTGATCGGTACTTTTTGAAGTCACTTTCTTAAAGTAGGAAAAACTTAAAATAAAAACAACTGAACCAAACAGTTCAAATGAGCACTTGCAGAAAGTGTGAAAGCCGAAGTTTGGAACAGTTACTCTGAATGGATGGCAAGGGAACGGAAGCATTCTTTCTGCCCCTTTTCCCTTCGTGGGCACCTGGACCGGCTGTGTAAGCGGGTCTGCCGAGGGCACTGGTCCACACACAGCGGCCCCGTGAGGGTGTGTGGTTTCAAAGCACAGGGGACAAGCGTCTTTGCTTTTCCTCCTGAACTTGGAGTCCACCTCTCTGAACTGGCATCTGAACAGGTTACTGAGGATAACACACCAAATGACAACAGCAACAAAAGTACCTTTTTTCCTTTGTTTGCTCGCAAAGGTACATGTTTAAATAGAGAATGATCTGAAATCTGATTAGGACTGTCTCTCTTGGGCCTCTTGCTTCTCAAGAGCTACCCTCTGAGGGTTGCAAGATCATGACAGAGTGAGTGAATGGCAAGACCAAAAAAAAAAAAAAAAAAAAAAAAAAAAAACTTCTAAAAAATAGGCACTTTGTAGATAGGCTAGTTGATATACATATATATGCACTCTCTATATATGTATATGTTGATACATTTGGGATGTGGCTCCCAGAGACCGCTGGGCCACTGCTGAGGAAGTTTCAATAGGGTCGCCAAACAGATTCATCCATTCTGCCACTAGAATTCAAAACGGTGGGGGAACTGCTGTGGCTTCCGTCGGCGTCAACGCCATCGTTCTGGTTAGGCAGGTTTGGGTTTAAGAGCGTGCTGCCGTTCGAGGTGGTGGTGCACGGCGGTAGCATTCTGGAAGGAGACCGGTCTCCCCCGGGCACCATGGGGAACTGATAGGATCCTGACGAGGTGCCATAGTAGAGATATGGAGTGCTGCTGGTCTGGAAGGGTCCGCTCTGGCTTTGGGAGGAGCCGGGGTAGGGTGGTGGCAGGTAGGTGTGGTAGTGAGTGGTGGCGGACATACCGAGGGACATGCCTGAGGTGACTGGCGGGGTATAAGTAAAGGTGGCTGGATAGTGCATTCGTGGGTTGGAGAACCGGCTCTCAGTGAGGGATGAAATGCTTGAGAACTGCCTGGGGTCTGAAAAAGGGCCCAGTTCTGAAGCACCTAAAAATTACAACAGAAGATGGGGGGGAAACATCTGTAAATAGCAGTTAAAATCACAAAAGAATTTATTTTTTTACAAGAAAAGAAAGAAAACTTTAGCTTTCCCCCAAAGGAACAGCAAGCCACAAACAGACTTTCAAATGCACCGGCCACTACACAGACTTCTGGGGTTTTTCTGTTTGTCTGTTTTTCACTTTACAGTCTTAGCAGCATTGAGCCTCAAGTTCTTCACCCCCAGAGAATCCCAAAGGGCTTTAAAAGCCCAAATGTGTGCTAGGTCATGTGTGTAAACCAACCCAACACTCTGATCAGACAGATTCACTCACCAGACTTTAAGACTGAATCCTCATTGATTTTTTTCCCCTCTCTTTTTGTTCCTTGTTGTACCTCAGATATTCGAAAGTGACCTTTTTACTAAGTCGGACACGTTTCTTTTTCTCAACCCAATATAAAGAAATTCCAAAGTGATCCGTTTTGTTATTGGTGCTCTTAGCAGGGCCCCTTGTCAATGAAGGAACGTCAAAAAGATACCCTAGCATGGGCCTATCACTTCAACTCTTAAACTAATGTGAAATCCTGTTTTATTCCTCATCTTGGTAACAGATTTCAAAAAAAAGTCAAACTAGATTTCAATGTTTTCTGGAACTATCTTACTTATCTGGGGGGGGGCGTATATAGGGAGTGTCTGACCCTTAGAAATTCTCCCAAGGCTCATAAACTAGCAGGTTTTGAAAGGGGGTGGGGGGAAGCCTTGGTACCTAGGAATCACCGCATTTCAAGTCTTGATGGGAGAGGTAAGACCTGATTAAGGCCACGTGCCAACAGCAGCTTTGGGGAAAGGCTCGCTGGTAGAGGAGATAAAGGAGGAGGGTACCTCGCCATCCACCCTCCGGACCCCTGTACCACATCCTACAGAATTAGCTTCAGGCCAGTTTGAAATGGGAACCTGAAGCAAAGACAGTTTTCCTCTAAAATGTAAAGTCCTTTAACTTCTAAAAGCTAACAGGGTGCCTCCTTAATAGGTATTTCTGGCACTTAACTTACGAAACCACAGTTAGAAACGACTTCACGTGGAAATTAGTTTTCGGAAATGCCAAAAACTTATAGTTGTGACCTTTGAAGACGGGGTTATGAATTTCTACCACTGACAGAACTGTGACAAGCTGTTTTATAATACCAGTGTTCTTAAGATTTTGTTCACACCTAAAATCTTCCAATCCTTTGGATCTCATACGTTTGCTTTTCCTACCGCTTTTATCTGTAAGGGAGAAAGCACTCAGTAATTCTTGAAGGTCTTAGTGAGCAGGTCCTTGTTCAGCTTCCATTTTTTTTAGCCACGTTCTTGGATACTACAATATTTATTAAACGAATCATCCCAATATTTTTCTTTCAAGGTGCTGATCGAGAGTTGTTCGTTTTTGTTAAAATGCACACTGCCTGTGTTCTTTACAAAATGCTCGGGGCAAGTGCCTTGATGTGCACGGATAGCAAGAAGTGTCTATTTCAAAGCAATATATCGTTAACAAGGTGTTTCTCACTCATCGGACAGTCCCAATCAGACAGCCCCACCCAGCCCAGCCCAGCAATTGTGAAAAGTCTCACCTGCCTGGCTCTTCTTACTGAGAGTGGAAGGCCAGAGGCAGAAGTCAGAGGTGGCAGTGTCATCATCTGTAAAATGAGGGGATGAGCTCTAAGTTCCCTTCCGGCTCTAACGTTCTATCACCGTGAATCCCAAGACGGGAGGAAAAGCAACTGCCTTGGGGGTGGGGAAGGGGAGGCAGAGAAGGTCCCACCCCTCACAGTACCTTCCCAGAATCCACAGGCCCATAAGCAGAGAGTAAACAAGCTGGTGAGCAGCTTCTAATACCAGAAGCAAACACTTTCAAGATGACAAACCAAAACTAGCACAGTCCGGGCAGTTACTCTCTGCTTTTTATAAATTCTTCCATCCTCCACTGGCCTCTCCCTAACCCCACCCAAATATGAAATTCTGACAAGCTCAGGTGCGGAAAGGTACAAGAAGTGATTAGGACAGAATCTCCAATGGGGCCAGATGAGATCTGCCAGCTCCCTGCCCTGTGCTTCTGTAGTGCCTGACACGATACAGGCCCCTGCATGGAGACCACAGATGTTCTCGGCCAGCCTGATTTTCACTGCAGGGCACCTGGGTGAACTTGAGTTGGCAGAGTTAATGGGTATAGGCAGGCCACTTCTGTACGCTTTAAGTTCAACGCTCAGCTCGTGAGAGAAACCAGAATAATGTGCAATTTCAAATGGAAAGATGTCACCCTTAAAACATCAGCGTTTGCCCCCCACGGGAGCACAGAGCTCACACAGGTAGGCTCATCAATGTAAAAAATGCTTCTCGTGGGTATTTATATACTTAAAATATACTGTCGTCGTCATCAAAATTCCAGGTGGTTTCCCTGATTTTGATGCAGAAGCCTCATTTAAACCCTTTATGTGGGACCCTGCCAGTAAACTCCAGTGTGGTTTTGAATTTCTCTCTCCACCTCCCACTCCCAACTCCTCGACTTTACCTGATACATTTGTCTGATGTTTTTATTATCCATCACATGCCAGGATCACTCTACCTTTTTGGCTTCTAAATACCAGCTAATGCAAATTGCCATTCATTTTTCAAGTAATGAGCTCTGGCTGCGGTTTATAGAAAACAATGCAACACACTTCCGCTGGCTTTACAGAACTTTGACCGATGACTTCCAGTCATCTGAGACTGTCATGTCTTGAGGATTAACTCCTTCTGGGCAAAGAGAGCTCATGAGGACTTTAAAGGGATAATACGGTAATTTTTATGTTACAAAAAAATAAAATTTTCTAGAACCTAGTCATTTCGTGTTACACTGCAATGTGTTCTGTAGGAAGAAATTTTAACAACTTGCTGCAGTATCATGTGAGATCTCTTATATAATAATCAGTGATGGGGAGATGGAAGGAATTCTAAACCTAAAAAGAAAGAACTTAAACCCCTTCCTAACCTTCGATTACTTATAATAATTATTACAGAAGCAAAGGATATAATTAAATTTTCTTTCATTGAATGGGTTGTACCTGTACTTCTAATCTCCGTTCTGTACAAGAACTCCGTTTTTCTTTCAGACCATCTTCTCAGGTTATTTCGACCTTGTGTCCTAGACTATTCATACCCATGTCACCAGCCACATTACGTACAGCTACAAACTATCTATAGACCTGGATATTATATCAACTAAAGAAAATATAGTATCTACTTACAAAAAGGATCAGGATGAAAGCCTGGAGAGTTCTAAAAGTACTCTTACCCCAATCTAATTTTAGAAATGTAAAGCCAGAGCTCAGTAACGGCCCCAGTGATCTGCCTTGTAGCCTTAGAGCCAGTTTAAAACTCCAGATTACAACCTACCGATTAAATAAAGCCAGCACTGCCAGGAGTTACTTGAAGCCCAAGATAAACATGGTGCATCTTCCTGATAGGCTTGTTTTACCCAGCATGGCTACAATGGTGTGCTGTACAGTAAACATGGACATGATATGGAGTAGAATGCAACACTTGGGTGAATTTTCAGACAAACCAAAAATGACTTCAACAAAATTTTGCACTTGTGAAGCTTTAAACTATGCCCCCAGATTCCCTAAGGTACCCATTTATCCTCCTCTGCTAGTCTGGGGTACTCTGGGGAACAAAAATCCAAACCCCTCGTTTACTGTTTAGATGATCCTAATCTAACCTGCTGACAAATAGGGAAGCTAAGCGGAGAAGGGAGCCATGTGCTCTACAAAAATCACAAAGCTCCAGAGAGGCAGAACCACAGCTAGACAAGACCTCTTCGACCTCTAACCACTCTGCAGTCTTAGTCACCCTTAAGGAATTCGGTGGACACAACCACAGATATATATTTGCTGTCTTACGAGCCTATCTGCCGAAATAAACTTGCCTAGAAATATTTAAGTAGGTTCTTCTGGTGCCCATGTGTTGCCCAGTGAGAGCTCCTGTTCTTGGGACACTATTTAAAAACTCTTTCGGGACTTGTTGATCTAATCTGCTCAACAGTGAGCAACTAATTCAGTTGTTTGTGGCATAATGTGAATGAGACCAAGGTCAGGGGCTTGATTCCCTTAGGACCTGCTGGTTCCCTACAGATGCATTTCATTCCACAACTGCTCGCTGCACCCTTAGCCAGTCAGACAGCTGCAGATTTATGTAGTTATCATAAATAGAGCTGCAAGAACCTTGCTCATTGAAACGGCAGCCGCAGCACTTTTTTCACAACCTAGTGTACCTGGGGAAGAATATATTAATAAAATGCCCGTGAAGCTCAAATAAAAATAAAATCAATGTTAAAAGTAAAAATTTCTGGGCTCCCCTGGTGGCGCAGTGGTTGGGAGTCCGCCTGCCGATGCAAGGGACACAGGTTCGTGCCCAGGTCCGCGAAGATCCCACATGCCGCGGAGCAGCTGGGCCCGTGAGCCATGGCCGCTGAGGCTGCGCGTCCGGAGCGGCTGGGCCCGTGAGCCATGGCCGCTGAGGCTGCGCGTCCGGAGCCTGTTGCCCCGCAACGGGAGAGGCCACAACGGTGAGAGGCCCGCGTACCGCAAACAAATAAATAAATAAATAAAAATTTCTTGCTCCTCTCCGCCAAAGTCTATGGGGAAAAACGAAATGGCCTCCCTTTACCCAACCAGGTCTCTTGGGCCTCCCAGGCAAGTGGAAAGTGTAGGGGAAAGGAGTGAAACCAAGATAAGGGAGAATAAAAAGAGAAGCTCTGATCCTTTATTCCTGCAGCCTGCAAGCCTCCAGTCAGCGCCTTCCACACCCCGACAGCTAAGGAGAGTTACCTTGGGTCATGCTTGACTCTTAACTAGAGTGAGCTGCGGAGGGCAGTGATAGTCTAACCCCTGTTCATCTTCCCCTTTGGGGCTTAATAACAATGATACTTGATGTTTCTAGGCCTTTACCAAGTACTTTCACATGCATTTTCTTATTCGGTGGACCCTCAAGA